AAGGTTCCCCTTTGAATTACAGTACATTCAAAAGTCCAGTGTACATGCTTGAGCACATCAGACCAACTGTGTATTTAAAATCTAAAATAAAGGACAGTCTTGGTAATGTACGTCTCCCAAAAATCTAGACGTATTTAAATGCGTTCTTGACACGTCAGTGGAAAAAGCTTAACTCATTATATGCCCCAGAACCCACAGGTTCACACAGGGACACACCAATTATGTAGTTATACTGGAATTATGCAGCCCACACCCACTTGCTGCAGAGAGGCCTGCAACTAATTGTACAGAGGAAAATAGAAAATAAAGCTTTTGATGAACATTTAAGTGTACTGAATATTTATTATATTCCCTCAGTATTTGTCTCTGCCCTCAGAATCCTGGCAAGTGTACCTATATTAAATGCTACTTTCTAGGGTAGAAAAGGATACACAATAAATTCATGAGAACCTAGAAAATACTAAAATATGTTTCAAGAGATCCAATGCATATTTGCAATGTAATGACAAAAAAAAAATCTTTTGACTACCAATACTCCCCATTCACTCATTCATTTATACATTCAATAATAAATATTTACTAAGCATTTCCTAACTATTAGGCATTAGAGATACATCAGTAAACATAACATAAAAATCTCTGTCCTCATGAAACATTTCTAATGGGGTATGAAATACTAAGATTCATAAAAATATCTCTGAAAAATATGTTCCTAGTCTTCTGTGGAGTGCTAACATCTCATTTTGCAAGCAATATACAATGGAAATAAAAATACAAAGGTAGATCTCCAAGTCTATGAAATACTGGTTTTTACTAATGCATTATGGGATCCCCAGGACCCATAGGATCTCTAGAACCTCCAGCTACTGCTATGTCTCCGGGCCTAGAAAGGACAGCTCCAACTGAATGCCTATTTACAATGCCGAAATAAGATTATACAGAAGATTGATCACTAACTTTCCACTTTGTTACAAGGCTTTTTATTTTTAATTAACTAGATAACTTCATTTTCCGCAAGTTATTTTGTAAATTGTGTTTTTAAAATTCAGTAAAAACCAGCCTGCTATTATTTTCCCAGTCCCAAACTCCGAACTATGTTTTCTGTGATTTTGTTGTCTTTTAAACATTTATAGATTCAATTATAATAGTGTAGTAATAATTGAATGATAATTGCCTGGCTTTCTTCCTTAATGGCTTTAAGACATTTACCTTCTAATCCCTCCATTATTCAGCTTTCTCTAATTCTTGGATTATCTCAGTAATAATAAACAACAGACCATTAGTTATTTCTCCTGATGTTCTAAGATACAATTTTCAAAACACTTCATTTGCCTCTGAACAATAAGCATTACCTCTGCCTTCAAGTCAACACCTTACAGTAATTCCTAATCTAGTCTTGGGATACAGGAAAGATGTCTCAGGAAAAAATAAAAGAGCTGGTTTACTTAATTAATTCCTTTTAAAACACTGTGTTAGGCCCCGGCCGGGTAGCTCAGTTGGTTAGAGTGCCATCCCATATGCCAAGGTGGCAGATTCGATCCCAGGTCCAGGTCCGGGGGTATACAAGAAGCAAACAATGAATGCTTAAAAAAAAAAAACCCATTATGTTAGCATGTCTCTAACTTCTACCTGGTCATATCCTGTCATTATCAGATTTCCTGTTCTAGATTTCAGGTCCTTTGTCTAAAACTTAAGCACATTTGAAAAACATCCTAAATACTTTCATTGATCTTTAGAATTAAAGCCATGACTTTGCTAACACTTTAGTCCTATCAACCAAATAAAATAACTCTCTGGACTTAAAGGTCTTTTACTAGTAGCCTCATCCTGATGAATGCATAATTTCTCTTCTGTCATATATCCTATGTCCTCTAACTCTTCATCTCTTTCTTCTCTCTGTACATTTCCTTTTCCCTTCATCAGCTCTAACACTACCCAAGATAGCAAAAGTTTTCTTTCCCTACACACCACCTAAGAATATCCTGTCATATCTTTCAATACACAATTCAATGTCCATTAACTCTACAAAGCATATTAAAGAAAGTTCTCTGTCCTCTAGTAATTTATAATGTGAGATAAACAGCAATAGAGCTAAAAGAGATGGTAAAAACATGCAAACAATCTGAGAAATTATGCAGACAAAATTATTAGAATTAGTAAGAGAACTCAGAGAAGTTACTGGATGTTAAATAAGCATTTATAAACATCTGCATCTTTATACATCAATGACAAAAAAATTCAAAAATATAATCTTTAAGCCCTGGCCAGGTAGCTCAGTTGGTTGGAGCATCACCCTATGCACCAAAAAGGTGGTGAATTCGATCCCTGCTCAGGACATATACCGCAGTTGTGGGTTCAATCCCCTGTTGGGGTACATGTGAGAGGCAACTGATTGATATTTCTCAGTCTCTCTCTCTCTCCTCTCTCTCCAAAATCAGTAAAAAACATATCCTTGAGTAAAGATGTTTTTTTCTGTTAAAAAAGATTTAATCTTTAATATATCACTTATGGTAACAATCAAATGTAAAAATTATAAAACTATGTTGAAATACATTAAAGATTATATAAATTAGGATATATAAAATTTATGGATAGGAAGACTCAATATTACAAAGATAATGAAGTTCTCCAAATTAACCAGTAAATCGAATGCCATTTCAATTAATATCCTAATAGTTTTTTACCAAACTTGACAAGCTGACTCAAAAAATTAATATGAAAGAATAAAAGGCCAAGAACAGCTAAGACAATATTGAAGAACAACAAAGGAGAAGGACTTGTTTGTGAAGTTTGTTGGACACTGATCTAATGTCTGAATCTCATCACTTGGCGTGTTGATTCTGGGCCCCTTGGGATGTGCTCCAGCAGAGGACAATGTCAGAGACTGTTTATGCCTGGCCCTTGGCAACTGATTGAAGTTATAAGCAATCTACAGTTTGTGGCTGCTTCTGCTGGGCCTGGTTGCACATGGAAAGGTCCAAACTGAACTCAAAGGCTGGCTTTTACCAGCACTGGGCCTGGGAATGGGCCAGCAAACGTCCCAAGGCACCCCAGGATCCGCCTCCACCTGCCTCCGCCTGCCACTTCTGTGATTTTCTGGTCCAAATCCATAACCTGGTCTAATCCTGAGGAAACTCTGAACACTCAGATTAAGGGTAGAGAAGTTAAAGAAATGTTGTTAAAGGGTACAAATGTGAAACTAGTAGATATGGAGATTTAATGCACAGAACAATCAACAGTCCTGTATCATAAATTTCAGAATTGCTAAGAGACCAGAGATTAACTGTTCTCAACACACACACAAAAAATGGCCTGTGACCTAGTAAAGGTGTTAGCTACTGCTGCTGCAGTAATCATATTGCAATATATAACTGTACCAAACCAACACATCATACAGCTCAACCTTACGCAATGTTATATGGTCAATTATCTCTCAATAAAATTTTTTTAATTAAAAAAAGTAAGTCATGTTCTATAAAATGTCTGGCCTCTGGTCTTCAAAATGGCCAAGGTTATGAAAGTCAATGCAATAGTGAGGAAGTGTTCCAGATAAAAAGAAACTAGGACCCAGGTACAATCCTATATTGAACCCATTTTGTATAAAGGGCAGTACTGGGAAACTAGAATGGGTTCTCTGGGCAAAGGGTAAACCAGGATAAAACCAGCAGTTCTTTGAACCATTCTTGGAACATGTTTTGTAAGTACAAAATTGCTTTAAAATTTTTACAGCTGAGAAGACTACCTAGCATGTAACTGGCAATATATAAATATTTACTGAATTAAATTCTACATTATAACATGAAACTTGGAGGTAAAATAAGACCAATCTCACAAGTGTAATTTATGGAGCCCCGGGAACATTCTCCTTAACATCCAAACATATCTTTGTTACCAATTCCCTCTGTGATAGTAAACATGAAGTGGGCAGAGGCACTGAAATAGGGGAGAAAGAATAGAGAAGGGAGATAAAGTGGAAAAATAAAAACTTATTAACTCTGGAAATTTGATGAGATGCAGTCTGGGAAGCAGGCTTTATTTACCCTATCAAATATCTCACATCTCCAAATCCCAATACAGAAAAGTACTATAGCCGTGATATTATTAACTGCTTGTCAACCTTGCCAGCAGAGAAATAAACTTATTTTTTTCTTTCTTTTATCACATATCATAAAATATGGAGGAAATACTATCGAAATGGTTTGACAATAATAGGGAAAGCAAAGAAATTTTAAGGAAAAAAAACCATATTTATTTTTAAACACCCTTTCTAGTATAAGAGGGAAGACCCACAAAAAACCTGAATTATCTTCTGGAGGGCGGGCCCTTTGTAGTACAGGCTTCCCCTGCTAGGTGAGTGTTCTAGGAACCCATCTGCATCAGTGTACCACTTGGCCTTGTTGTGAGAGGCTGAATTCAGCTTCAGGGAAATTTTTTTGAAGACTTTTTCAACCCGTTTGCCCATTTCACCGTGGGTGATTTACAAGTGCGCCTGCCCACACTGCACTGAGTGTTCAGCAGTTTTTGACCAAAAACAGCATTACCCCTGTGTCCAACCCTCCCTATTCACCCAGTGTTGCCCAAGCAACTTTTTTTGGCTCTCCAGATGAAAAAAGTCCTCAAAGGGAAACATTTTGCCAATGTGGAAGAGGTGAAACAAGAAACAACAGAAGCACTAAAAGGTACCAAAATGGATGTGTTCAAAAACTTTTTGAGCAGTGGAAAAAAATGTCTCGATAGGTGCATTGCATCAATGGAGAGTACTTTGAAGGTAACTAAAGTTTAAACATGTAAGAAAAAAGACACAACTTTTTATAAATAAATTCTGGTTTTTTTGGGGTCCCCTCAGTACAACAAATGAAGCAAAATATTTCAAAGATCAACTAAGTAGAACTGATTTCATTATAATCTCTAAAGGGTTGCATAAACTGGTGATAATTCTTCCTAAAACTTGACATAACATTTTCAAAATCTTCAAGAATAAATGCAGAAATTTTACTCACCATTTTAGGAAGCCTCATCAACATATCTTTACAGCGCAGTATACATGTAGATGCTCTTTGAAAATCCCCTTGAATAATTGCCTGGGAAAGTGAAAAATGTCAACAATTAGTTAAAATGAAATAACAAGATATTTGTCTACAAGTCAATTTTAGCATATTTAACCGTTATTTAAAAGCCATAATTTGTTTTCTAATTCTTTTAACAATACTAGTTAGTCTAAATAAGCATAATAACAGGCTCAAAATACAGAGAAATAAGAGGTAATAATCTTGGGCAACAGAAAATTGACACTGAATGACTGAAAGTCATTTACTTTTTGTGAAAATGTCAAAACTGGTGCACAATCTTAGGTTATTATATTATGATATAATGCCACATCTAACAGATACTTCCTGGGCTTGAATAGATCTTATAGTGGAGGAATTTTTAATGTTAAATAACAGTCTTGTCCTAAAACAGGCTCACAATAACCTCACAGTCTAAACTGCTGTGAATGTCTGCTATTACCGTAAAGGCAGTTTAGTACACTCTCATCTTGGAGCCAAAAGAATTACTCTTATGTTTATTATGCATAACCTTGAACCTTATGCTCTCATGGCTTCAATTTTGTCATCTATAAAATGAGGACACTGTACTAGCTTATCTCTAATTTCTTTCAACAGTTTTATAATTTTCAGTGTACTAGTCCTGCACTTCTTCTGTAAAATTTATTCCTAAGTATAATTTCTAAATAAAATTATCCCTATTTTCAAATGACATGATCTTGCATATGAAATATCCAAAGACGTCCACAAAACTCCAATAAACAAGTTTATCAGGTTACAGGTTACAATTATAAAAATCTATTGTATGTCTATCCGTTAATGAAATTAAGAACTTAATTCCATTTAAATTAGCATCAAAAAACAAAATAATTGGGAATAAATTTAACAAGAGAACTGTAAGACTTGTATACCAACAAAAAAACTACGGGAAGATATTAAAGAAGACCTAAATAAATGGAAATACATTCTATGTTCACAGATCAGAAAACTTAATACTCTGAAGATGGCAATAGTCCCCAAATTGAACTAGAGATTCAATACAATTCCCATCAAAATTCTAGCTGGCCTTTTTTTTTTTTTTTTTTTGGCTCCCTGGATGAAAAAAGTCCTCAAAGGGAAACATTTTGCCGATGTGGAAGAGGTGAAACAAAAAACAGCAGAAGCACTAAAAGGCATCAAAATGCATGTGTTCAAAAACTGTTTTTGAGCAGTGGGAAAAAATGTCTTGATAGGTACATTGCATCAATGGAGAGTACTTTGAAGGTGACTGAAGTTTAAACATGTAAGAATAAATACACAACTTTTTATAGAAATTGGTTTGCTGATCTTAAAACTCATGTGGAAATTTAAGGGACCCAGAATATGCAAAACCATTTGGAAAAGAACAAGGTTGCAGGGCTCACACTTTCCCATTTCAAAACTCACTACAAAGCTAGAGTAATCAAAACTGTGGTACTGACACACAGATCAACAGAACAGAATAGAGAACCCAGATATAAACCCATACCTTTATAGTCAATTAATATTCAACAGAGGAAGCAAGCACATACAATGGGCAAAAGATAGTTTATTCAATAAATGGTGCTGGGAAAATTGGACAGATACGTGCAGAAAAATGAAAATACACCACCTTCTTACACCACACAGAAGAATAACTTCAAATGGATTGAAGAGCTAAATATTAGACTCCAAACCATAAAAATCCTAGAGGAAAATATAGGCAATAAGAGCTTGAACATTGCTTGTAGAAATATTTATCTGATATATCTTCCCAGGCAAAGGAAACAAAATAAAAAACAAATGGGACTACATCAAACTAAAAAGGTTTTGCACAGCAAAGGAGACCATCAACAAAATAAAAAGACAACCCACAGACTGAAAGAACATATTTGTCAATACATCTGATAAGGGGTTAAATCCAAAATTTATAATGATCTTATAAAACACCACCAAAAAAAGCAAACAATCCAATTAAAAAATGGGCAAAGGGCTTAAATAGACACTTCTCTAAAGAGGACATACATATGGCCAAAAGATATATGAAAAGATGCTCAATGTCAATAATCATCAGAGAAATGCAAATTAAAACTGCAATAAGATGTCACCTCAGAGCTGTCAGAATGGCTATCATCAATAAATCAACACACAACAAGCACTGGCGAGGATGGGGAAAAAAGGGAGCCCTAGTGCACTGTTGGTGGGAATGCAGACTGGTGCAGCCACTGTGGAAAGCAGTATGCAGGCACCTCAAAAAACTTAAAAATGGATCTGCCTTTTGACCAGTGATCCTGTTTCTGGAAATCTATCCAAGGAAACCCAAAACACTAATTCAAAAGAACATAAGCACCCCTATGTTCATTGCAACATTATTTACAATTGCCAAGATATGGAAACAGTCAAGGAGTCCATCAATAGATGAGTGGATAAAACAACTATGGGACATTTACACAATAAAATACTACTCAGCCATAAAAAAATAAGAAAATTTTACTCTTTGTGACAGCATGGATGGACCTGGAAAACATCCTAAGTAAAATAAGCCAGTCAGAGAGAGACAAATACTGTAGGATTTCATTCATATGTGGAATCTAATGAACAAACAGAACTGAAATTTTATGTCCACATAAAAACCTGTGCATAAATGTTCATGCCGATTTTATTTGCAATAGGCAAAAACTGGAAACGACCCAAATTCTTTCAACAGTGAACGGCTAAACTGGTACATCTATATCACTATAGAATATTACAAATAAAGAACAAACTGTTGATACGCAAAACTTAGATGACTGTCAAAGGAATCATGCCATGTTAAAAAGGCCACTACCAAAAGGTTATATACATTTATATAACATTTCCAAGTGACAAATTTTATAGAGGTCGGGAATAAGTAATTGGTTGCCTGGTACTGGGGTTGGAGGATTGGATATAACTCCAAAGGAAAGCACAAAGGATCTTTTTAGTAATGGAACTGTTCTGTGTCTTGATTGTGGTGGTTACATGAATCTATCCCAGTGGTAAAACTGCATAGAACTATAGGAACACACACAAGTTGATGTAAAACTGGTGAAATATGAACAAGCTTTATGGATTGTACCAATGTCAGTTTACTAGTTTGACAATTCACTACATTTATACAAGATGTTACCATGGAGGGAAACTGGGCAAAAGGTACACCAGAATTTTCTTTACTTCCTGTGAATCTCTAATTTTTTCAAAATAAAGTTTTTAAAAATCACATTAGTTAATATCACTGTCGATTTTATCATAAAAGTTTACGTATCTGGAGGATGTCAAGTTCATAGTAGAGGTACAAGTTTTCCAAAATTCTAATTTTTACTTAAAAATTAAATTTTATCGCTGACAACAACTACTGTCAGTGCTTTCCTTAACATCACGTTCCCACTTCATTCATTTTTATGAAAATGTCTGCTAGATACTCAAGTCTGAATGAACAAATTTATCTGTCATTCTTTCCAGTAAAAATGGTATTCTGTGAAAACAGAAGTAGTTAATTCAGCTCAAAGTCAAACAATCACATAAGGGCCTTTCCTGAAGACAACCATTGGACTTCACTATGCACAAGTGCTCTTTTTCTTTTTCTTTACATATATTAAAACAATATATACTCAAATTTCAAGATTTAATAAAATCAATTTTTTAAACCAAATCACAGGGGTATTTTTTAAGTTAATACTGGAGTTCTTTTTACTGCAAGTCTGTAGCGGTGAAGAACACAATGACTACTAGTAAAGGGTGTGCCACTGTCTTGGTTCATGTTAAAAGTGACAGAAGTTCTAGCCCTGGCTAATGTGGCTCAGTGGACTGAACTACAGCCTTCAAACCAAAGGGTTGCTGGTTCCTTTCCTGGTCAGGGCACATGCCTGGGTTGCGGGCCAGGTCCCCAGTAGGGGGCACACAAGTGGCAACCACACGCTGATGTTTCTCTCTCTCTCCTCCTCCCTTCCTGTTCTCTAAAAATAAATAAAATATTTTTAAAAGTGTCAGAAGTTTTACCCACCATTGCTTTTGCACCACCAGTACAAATGTCAACAGAGCAAAAAAAGGCTAATAATGTCTTAGAATTATTATGAAAATAGTTTTGACCTCACGGCAACAACATGAATGGACCAGGAGAGTACTAACTTCTTCCATTGCTTCACCATCCACTGAGCCTTTCAACTCCTACATTATGTCTTCCACTTTTATTTTTCTATTAAAATTATTTCCTATGGCCACTATCTTCTTCCTAAATGTCAGGTCCAATAGCCTTTTCTTCCACCTTATTTTCATTTATTTCTCTGGAGCACTGGCCACTGCTGATCATCCCATTTTCTTTGAAATGTTCTTCTCTTCTCACTGGTCTAGTCCTCCTTCATCTCTCATATGTCATCCGTTCTTTGTGTTTGCTATTTTTTACTACACCCTCCCCAACATGTAACTGCAGAATGAATCAGCTTTCTTATTATCCTCCCTTTCCTGCCTCCAAGGACTGAGTGATTCAGACCTTCTCACAGAGTGTAAATGCTTTCTTGCTTCTGCTACAGTATCTTCTATATCTGTTACCTTCCTTCCCATTGTTATTGCTACTACTAGAGTCCAGGTTCTCATCACTTCATGCTTACACCATGCCTCCATTCTAGTCACTTTTTCCATCCATCCTAATCACTATGGCCAGATTGCTCTTTGTTTTGTGTCACCTTACCTCTTCCCCAAAACCTTCAACTACCCCAGTGCCTTTAGGAAAATTGAAAAAGTAATTTTTCCAAGACATATATTGAGGCTTCTCAACTTGACCCAACTTATCTCTCCAGACTTAGTCCTCACACAAGTACTTTCCTTCAAATACTGGTCATTCAACATTCCTTAAGAAAGACATGCACATTCCTGCCTATACGACTTTGCTCCTGCTCAAGCCTTTACTCTGTCTGAATACACTGTGCCCCTTCTCTACTTTTCTAAATCTAATCCTTTTTATGGAAAACAGTCCTGAAGTTTCATAAAATGTTAAAGATAGAGTTACCATGTTATTCAGCAATACTACTCCTGGGTATGTATCTAAGAGAAATGAAAGCATGTACACACAAAAATCTGTACATGAATGTTCACAGTAGAATTTTTCATAATAGCTCAAAATTGAAAACAACTCAAATGTTCATCAATGGATGAATGGGTAAACAAAACATGGTATATCCATACAGTGGAACATTATTTAGTAATAAAAAAATGAAATACTGATGTTACAACATGGATTAACCTTGGAAACATGCTAAGTGAAAGAAGCTAATCACAAAAGAGTACTTATTGTTATGATTTCATTTTTATGAAATGTCCAGAAGAGGTAAATCTATAGAGACAGTAGATTAGTGATTGCTAGACTGGGATCAGGAGGAATGGGGAGTGACTAGTAATAGATAGGGGGTTTCATTCTGGGGTGATAAAAATGCTTCAATCTTAGATTGTGGCCAAGACTGCATAATTCTGTGAATATTCTAAATCCATTCAATTATACATCTTGAATGTGTAAACTTTACAGTATATGAATTATACTTCAATAAATATGTTAAAATAAAATAAGATGATTATACTAGATGATATTTAAGGTCTCTTTCATTTGTAGAATTATATAATTACAGAGCACAAACTCATCATGGCTTACATTGTGTCAACTGAAAATGTACCCCTAACTGATGGTGACTAAAGGAGGAAACTAGCAGCCAAACAGAGGTAAAGTACAACTTTGAACACTGATAACAGCAAGTTTTAATATTTTTTAAAATATTTTAATTATTTCTTAGAGGAAATGAGGGAGAAAGAGAGGACGAGAAGCATCAATGTGCTAGAGAAACATCAATCAGTTGCTTCTTGCACACCACCAACTGGGGACCTGGACCACAACCCAGGCATGGGTCCTGAACCAGGAATCCAATCAGCGACCTTTTGGTTTACAGTCTGACACTCACTCACTGAGCCACACCAACCAGGGTGATAGCAGCAGACTTTGAGAAATCATCAGCAAAAAAAGCCCAGAACTGCAAATGGAAAGGCTCTTACTAGGCACATTTTTTAGCCAGGCTGTGGATGTAAAAGAGTCACAGAGATGGGCGTTTCAAGTAGAGGCTACTGCCATAAATAAATAATAGATATTACATACAGTGGTTAAAATGATGTTTAGTTATATATCAGTCTTTCCAACTGCATCCACCCTGACATAGATACCAATTGCCATCAGTAATGTTACCTTCAGATACCAGAGATTAAAAAAAAAAATCAAATACATTTTTATGAAAGGCCAATGACACCTCACCTTCTTCTAATACGTTATAGATCATCACTTTTTTCATTTACATATACAGAATGCCACACTGTGAGGTCGTGGAGACTATGATACTTACTGACTCTGCTTGGTAAGAAAACACTTTGAAAAGATCCCTCTCCACAGCACACTTCTGTGTAGCCACTGTGGGTTCAGAAGAGCAATTCTCCATTAATTTGGCATAAAATTGCTCCAGACCCTGAAAAACAAGACCAAATATTATGTAAAATGAGAAACACCACAACTGTTATAATTGCTACAGCTTAAAAATCAGTGGTAACTTACATCTATGGCAGCTTGAAAAAATTCATCAGCGATCACTCCATTTCCAACATCCACCCACTCCTTTCCTGTTTTCATATTCATCTGGAAGAAAGAAATTAGAAAATTTTTTAAATCACACCTTCTCCAGACTTACTTAGGAGGGTACTGGAGAAAATATTTAATTTTATGTCCATATTCAGTAGTGCAATCCACAGAAAGCAAAAAGGCAACAGTCAACGTTTATTAGAGTTTTGAATGCTTTCAATTCTGTAATTTAAGAGAAATGGTCTTAAGCAATAATAAAAAATTAACAGATTTGAAAATGTATCCTCAAAGGAAATATTAAAAGAAAATATTGGGAAAATTTAGACAGGAAAATTCTGAAAAATTAATACCTCATGTGAAGAAAGTTACATGAGAAACATTAAACTCTATGTCAACACAACTGGGTTCTAGCTTTAAATTATAGCTCTAATAAAATTTTTATTAATCTGCCCTAGCTGGTGTGGCTCAGTGGATTGAACGCTGGTCTGCAGACCAAAGGGTCGCCAGTTTGATTTCCATTGTAGGGCACATGCCTGGGTTGCAGGCCAGGTCCTCAGCAGTGGGCACACAAAATGCAACTACACATTGATGTTTCTTTCCCTCTCTTTCTCCCTCCTTTCCCCTCTCTACAAATAAATAATAAAATCTTTAAATTTTTTTTCATTAACCTAACAATTGTTTATTAAGTATCTTTTAAATGACAAGCACCCTGAAGAAGCTCACAGTATTGAAACTGACAGACATGTAAATACATAGTTGATATATGACATGCACAAATGTTATGGAAGCAAATAAGAACTGAATCAATATGAAGAACTGAGCACACACTACAGGCACCCTTCTACTATAAACCCCTAGAAAAGCAGTATATACTATAAACAGTGTATGTTATAAATTTCACTATAAATTTATATATAGCATATATACTATAATTTTAGTAAAAATTTTTATAAGCTATAAATTCCTAGACATGCTATATTATACTATATATACATTACATTGTATATATCATATATTTATATATATAACTTCTAGTAATTTATGTATATTCTCTGTAAGTAAGAGAAAAGATATACACATGTTACTTATTTGATAAGAGTCCTGGAAAATAAGGCGCATTTTCAGCTGACCCAAATTAATGAGAAACCTTTGAAAAGTCAACAGCAAATGGGATGAGGCAAAAACCACCATCCCAAATATGCACAAAAATGAAAAATGTGGAAACATTCTGAATGTAAACAGTAGGAATATCAGGCAGTTAGCTTCCCCTAAGAGGCATCTACTCCTCTCTCACCCAGCAAGAAACTGTGAGCGCAATCACCAAGGCTGGAGATTTTTCAGGTGGCTGGCAACACAGGTCATCCAGACCTACCTCTCCATCAGCTACTTGATTCAAGTTACATTAAATAGTGTGACACAGTATGTACAGAAAATTATCAGGGAATCTCAAGTCAAATATGAGTAACAATCACCAAATAGCTGAGGGAACGAATACCATGAAAGGACAACACATTCAACAAACAGAAGAATACCTGAGGAAATAGTATTAAGAGAGTAAGCAGATGGAAAATAAAGACCTAAGAATCCTGAAACGCCAATTCAAAAGAACCTATGCACCCCATTGTTCATAGCAGCGTTATTTACAGTAGCCAAGTGCTAGAAACAGCCTAAGTGCCCATCAGTAAATGAGTGGATTAAAAAACTGTGGTACATTTACACAATGGAATACTACACAGCAAAAAGAAAGAAGGCGCTCCTACCCTTCTCAAAGGCATGGATGGGACTGGAGAGCATTATGCTAAGTGAAAACAAGCTACGTGGTAAAAGATAAAATACCATATGATCCACAAAGTGGAATTTAGTCAACAAAACAAACAAGGAAGCAAAACAGAACTAGGGACAAGGGAATAAAGAACTGACAGTGACCAGAAGGGAGGGAGGAAGAGGAAAATGGGGGAACAAAGGGGAAGGGACTAGTCAAGAAACATGTATGAATGACCCATGGACATGGACAATAGGGTGGGGATTGACTGTGGGAGCAGGGGGTTGGGGCAGTGCTGGGCAGAGAAAGGCAAAGGGGAAAAAATTGGGTCAGCTATAATAGAAGGTCAATAAAATATTTTTTAAAAAACTTATGCAGACCTCTGATCTCTTGAAATTAAAAATTATAACAAACAGTTTATAAACTTGATCCTGAGGAGTTTGGGGGGAACAGTAGGAACAATGCTTATTATATGTCTAAGTTATGAATGAAAAAATGAAACGAAAAAGAGAAAAAGAGAAATACCATTTTTATCCACAGAATTAAATAGTAGTCACAACCAATAGGATTGTCCTTTTAGTTTTCATTCCCTGAATCAACAAACCCAAAAATGCAAATGTTAAAGGTGACAGAAGTTAGAAGGTTAAAGGTGAGGAAAGGTAGAGAGAATGATAAAAGTACTAACATCCTCACAGAGTGAAAAGTAAAGACATCCTCTCCAAAAATGACTTAGAAAGAAATAAAATTTTGATGTTATTTAAAGTTTTAAAAGGTAACCTTCAGATAAATAAAAATAGTATAATTAAAAAAACCAAAGGGAGTAGGGGGAGGCAATATTAGAAAATAAGAGATAAATTTTCATCTCTCATAGCAGGAAAAATAGATCCCATATAAGCTGATAAATCAAGATTAATTGAAAATGATATCAGTATCATGACAGAGTGAAAACATCTCTTGGTTTCTCCCCTTAAAATTACAAGTTGGACAAATATAATTGAACAAAGGATTCCATGCTTAACACACAAACACATCTGAGGGATCCATGCATTGAGATACTGGAAGGTGGGTGTTTCAGAACAAGCAAGGGAGGCAGGAAGAGGGGAAGGGCAGAGACAGGAGCCGCAGACAGTCTGGTCTTCACCAAGAACAACACAGGGAAAAATTACAGGCCAATATCTCTAATGACCGTGCATATAAAAATTCTAATCAGAATACTAGAAAACTGAATACAACAATACATTAAAAAGATACTATATCATGATCAAGTGGGGTTTATTCCAGGGATGCAAGGACAGCTCAACATACACACATCAATCAGTGTGATATACCACATTAACAAAATAAAAAATAAAAATCATATAATCCTATCAATAGAGGCACAAAAAGCATTTGACAAGATACAACATGCATTTGTGATTAAAGCACTCAATAAAATGGGTATAAAAAAGTACCTCAACATAATAAAGACCATACATGATAAACACTCAGCTAAAGCCATAATGAATGGAAAAACTAAAAACTTTTTCTCTAAAATCAGGAACAAGACAAAGATACCCACTCTCACCACTGTTATTCAACATAGTACTAAAAGTCCTCACCAAAGCAATCACACAAGAGAAAGAAATAAAGACATTCAGCCCTGATAGCATGACTCAGTTGGCCGAGCACTGTCCCACATCTTGGAGGAATGGCTGATTCTAGGTCTAAGGCAGAAACTACTGGATATCTCGTAATATCAAAAATCAAATAAAACTATTAAGGACTACTGGGGTTATGTCAAAAGGACTCATCATCACTTAAAGAGGCTCCTTCTGGCCAAAGACAGGATGCTGTTCTTCAATAAGAATAATAAATCCAATGGATTGAAATTCATTAAATGTTAAAATCCATGAGTTCACAATAATACTTTTTAAAAACCTATTTGTTCATAATTTAAGGATGTTGGAGAACCAACTCATTATCCTGAAAATGCTAAGTAAAGGGAAAGAATCAAGACTGTCTTTCCTGTAAAAGTATACTTCAGAGTAACCAAAGAGTTGATGAGGAGAAGTTTTCTATTTCAGTTAATAAACAAAGAAGAAATACAGAATTCAGAATATGCAAACCCTTATAGAAATAATGGATCTTGGAACAAAAATTATCCAAGGATACTAACACAAGAAAAAGGGGAGAAGCTGGTGTGGCTCAGCGGATTAAACACCAGCCTGTGAACCAAAGGGTCACTGGTTCGATTCCCAGTCAGGGCACATGCCTAGGGTGTAAGCCAGGTCCTCAGGAGGGGGCACATGAGATGCAACCACGCATTGATGTTTCTCTCCATGTCTTTCTCCCTCCCTTCCCTTCTCTAAAATTAAATAAATAAAATCTTTTTAAAAAAAAAAGGGAGAAGCAGAACTTAGTGCCTTCTGATGCAAGTATACCATACTGTCTATGAATTATTCTTGACAAAACTGAACCTGAATTAGATCAAACTTCTAAATCTACCAGTACAGGAAAAGCAGGGTATAGAGGACTATATTATATGAAGCTGTGGATGCAGTCATCAGAATCCAAAATTTAGGAAACTCTATGAACAACCTGGTTTCTTCAATGAATAAATTTATTCAACAGATTTTTAAGTGGGCGGGGGGAGAAAGATGTAGATTAAAAAAAAAGAGAGCTATTAATAAAATACGAGGTGTGGGCTTTCTTTAATTCTGATTCTAAGAAACAAAGTGGAGGTGGGGAGAAGGAGAAGGCAGGCAGGGCAGGAGATACTGGGTATTTATAATTTTAGAAAATCTCTTAAATTTTATTAGGTATGATAATGGATATTGGGTTGGTTTGAATAAAAAAGATACCTTGTATTTTGGAAACATATATTGAAGTAATTATGGGTATAATTATGAAATAATTATGAAATGATATATTTTGGATTTGTTTCAAAATAACCCATGGGAGTTTGCTGTTGGAGGAGATATAGAAGAAACAAAAGCAGTCATATGTTGATGGTTATTCTAGTTAAATGATGAGTAAATAGGGGAATCAATCAATTTTGTGTGTACATTTGATATTTTCAATAAAATATTGTTTTAAAACACTGGCAAAATACTTTCCACTGAAAATACATACTTGCCTCTAGGAAGCAAAACAGAGGGTAGAAAGGAATGGATCAGAAAACTATTACTTTTTATTACTTACATTACTTTTCATAAATCTTGAATTATAAGTTCAATTTTTAGTCCGCTGAACCACTATAATAAAAACTATAGCACCGTTGAGACCTTCAATTTTAATAGATATAATTATCCTAAAAGGAACATGAATACACTAAAGGTTATGACCCCTTCTAGGTTCTAACTTCACTCTAACTTCAACCGTCTTCATAGAAGTAATGACTATCTCATTGCATCTGCACTTTGTCCTCACTTAATTAGGACTTACCAAAATCCGTCTGTGAATAACTTCTTCTGGAGCATCTGCGCTTTCACACATGCATATCAACTTGCAAGCAACATGTCGTACTGCAAAACAGTAATTAGACACCCATAAACACAAAGCATTCATTCTCTTTTTATATAAACCTACAAAGAGAAAGGAGATGTTAAGTGAAACAAGTATTGTTGTTAAAAATAAGAATTTTAAAGGGTTTTTTAAAATCAATTATCAAAAGTAAATGATCTGAAATTTATCAAATGAATTATTTGCTTAAAGAAATCTATTCAGAAAGATACTGAATTTTCAAAATTTAATTTCTGCAGCTCTTAAGCCCCAAAGACTCACTGAAGATACCTCATTCCACATGATGCTCTTGTATATACTAGCAGCAAAATAATTCTAAGTGGAACTGGAATCTGAAGCTATTCAACATCTGACAAAATTTCTGAACATCAGGGTAATTGTGGATTATTCTCCTAAAATTGAAACTTTCTAAATATATTCTTTGCTATAGATGACGTAAAAGTTCTTAAAATATAATTTAGAAAACACAGATATCTTCATGATACACTTCATTTCCCCTTGAAAATGGGAAAGTTTTAATAATTGTAACCTCCTTATTTGTGTAGTTTCTTTCATCATAAAACATAACCAATTTTTTAAAGGATGACTTCACATATAACTGAACTAGCTGCCTTGATGTTAGGTCTCAGCAGCCACTCTACCTATGCTATCATTTTTAATTAATATTCACTTGAAAAGAGATTTGCCAGCTGAAATTACAGGGTAATTGAAGTAGATAGATTTTTTTATTATCCATCATTAAATGTAAAATGTATGCATCCCTTAACAAAATTAATTTATTTCTGAAAAAATCTTTCAGTATAATAACTAATAATCATATTTACCATCTTGCATTTCCAGTTTTTAAAATGTTTCCTTTATTTTTTCCAAAGATTACTAATTCTTCAGTACTCTTAAGGACCCTGATCTCTCAATTATTTCCCCTCTCCAAAGCTACCTTCAGTACCTCCGTCTCAATTTATCCCTTTCTCTCTACCTTCAAATACATCCATCTCTCTTGAAAAAAATAATCAACTCCACAGTGCTTCAAGTTTCCATCCTATTTCTCCTCTTCCTGTCATTGCCAAACTTCTTGAATTGAATGGTCTATCTGCTACCTCTATTTTCTTGCCATTCACTCATCTCCTTAAGCCCCTGCAATGTTTCTGCAGCTGTACTTTGCTAAAACTGCACTACCAAAGATCACCTTCCCTGACTTCACAAGTGACAGTTCACAGTGATCATAACCTTTCTCAAAAATATTACTTCCTTGACCTCACAGCTTTGAACAGTGTCCCTCTGTGGGAAATGTCTTAGCCTAAGAACTTTGCTCCCATCCCCACATTCCTGATCCAGCTGTTTATAGTTTATCACCAACAAGCCTTCAGGCCAAAGGCAGCTAAAGCTGAGACAGCATGCTCCTTCAGTATAAAGATGTTTTTTCTTTGTTGCTGTTGCTATATCCTTGTCTTCTCACCAGCCCATACTTGGCCCCTCTATATTACAAACATCTCGGATAGGTGCCTGCTGATTGACTCCTTAGATCTGCCTTACTCTGTCTGCTCCATCAGTGCCCACAGCTTGATATTTGAATTGACTTTAGACAACACATGGTGTTGTAATCTCTGGCATTTGTGAATTCTTTGTTTTTCTTGTTCATTTACCCACTCCTTCCCATATCCTCAAGCATAACATTTGCCAAGTACTTTTGTTCTGAGTATTACCTTGTCCCTTTCACCTACTGCCTGCCATAACATGGTATGATAACCCTATCAGAACTATGTATTCAATAAGTGGGTAGTGAGTCTAGAATGTTCTGACTTTCTTTTGGTCTCCTACCCTTGTTCTTTTTCTTCCCAGACTTGGAAGACTCAAGGTTAAAAATCTCACTACTCTGTTCTCTCAACGCCATTGGTTCTTAAAATTTGGTAAGCATGAGAATTCCTGAGATTTTTTTTTTCAAATTACAGATATACCCATCTTTCATCCTAAACCTAGTAAGTCAAAACCACCAAAGGTGGGGCCTAGGTATCTGTAGTGTAAGTAAGTTCCACAGGTGATCTTTATTTATATCAATATTAAAAAACAGTTACTCTTCCCTGGCCAGGTAGCTCAGTTAGAGTATCGTCCTGATACACCTAGGTTGCAGGTTCAATCCCTAGTCAGGGCACATACAAGAATCAACCAATGAATGCACAAATAAGAACAACAACAAACGGATGTCTTGTGCGCACTCACTCGCACGTGCTCTCTCTCCTCTCTCTAAAAATCAATTTAAAAAAACTGTTGCTCTTTATTCTCTCCCTCAGAGACTTCAACTACACCTGTGGCTTCAATAATCACCTCCATGTGAATAACTACCAAATCTACAGGCAACCTGACCTTTCTCAGACCTCCAACCTTATTGTTACCTTAAATGCAACAGGTCGAAAACTAAAATTTACAAATAATTCTTCTATTCTGGCTTTCCTCTTTCTTTTCATTGTTCCATAAGTCTTCCCAGTAATAGAAATGGTAGCATATAAATCTTGATGACTTTTTTCGTCACACAACATAATCCAGGCACACTGAATTTGTTTGTAAGGAGACAAAACATCTTTCAACATAATATTTTTGAAATAAAACTTTTATTTCAAAATAACGGTTTCCTGCACTACATCCTGTTTTCTACTGTATCTTAAAAGTACTATATATGTGTGTGTATGTGTATTTATATGTATATAAAATAAGCGCCCAAATATCTGATTAAGAACTGCAACATGCACAGTCAGTACACTGAGAAAGGTCCTAGGTCTGCAGCTCCCACTTCACATACCAAATCGCTACTATGTGACAAGCAGTGAAAAACAGCCACAGCAATATTCCTTAATATGCAGAATGGTGGGAGTTTAGAATTAATGTATTTTAATATCACACAGTTCACCTGTGTAAAAAGTTTCTCCATGGATAAATTTCTAACTCTTCCCTCCCCATAACTACAGGATCTAAGGCTCCTAGGAACACTGATATGAACATTTATCTGAGTTAAAGAGGTAAAATTGTTGTCTAAAAACATTCTAATGGAGGAGTGGGCTAATGAGTAAGTATATAATTGACTTTATTGACCACTAATTACCCTAAACCTACACTGAAGCTGTATACAGTTTTGTTTATATTCATAAAGATAAATACTTGGTAATAAACTCTATTTGTCACATACAGATAAAACCTGTCTTTACAAAGTAAACCAGTCCAGAGATTCCCTTTTTGGGTTATTGTCTCAATATATCCTTCATAACTGGGCAATATAATTTCTAAAATGGCATCAACTGTCACTATCCTTGTTGGAAAGCAGCAAGTGCGAGCACATTAGGCCCTGCCCATTTAGCTTAAGCACTAGAACTTTGCCAGTGAACCACATTTAATGCATCCAAGCAGATGGGTTTGGTTTGGGGTTTTTGTCTTGTTGTTGCTCTTTTTGTTTGCTCTCACAGGTAGAAAAAACTTCTCTAGTGTTTCTCAGTAACTCAGTCCAATGTTCATCAACCAACCTCATGAGGACACTAATCATTGCAGATTTTTTAATCTAAATCCCTCACATAGCAACATTTTCTTTTCTATTTTTAATGGAGAGAGGAAACTACTATTTGATGGTACTTCAGAATCCAGATCATATCTTCTCCAAGGAAAATAATCCATGTCTTTTAACGCTTCCTCAAGTTCTCATTTTACCACCCTTTAATCATCTTTGTTGTTCACCACCAGACGATTTCTTGCAGTGGTGCTTTTAAACTTTTATTAATATGGAGCTAATTTCTGAAAAATCATAAAACTGATGAAAGCTTTTTGCTTAAGTAACCTGTTTATGGGTTGTTTTGCTTAAGTCTTGTTTTAACAAATTTCCACCTAAGAACTGGTCAAAATTTTATTTAAAATACAGGAACACAACCTGATGTATTACAAAAATACTCCTCACAATGATTCACAAAATATATACGTACATTTAGCTCTCTGCTCTCCACTTACATCCAAACCAACTCTCTTGGAAACTGCCCAGTTCCAGAGGTTTATTGCCATTTCTTCAACCTAGACAAGAGAAACATTTTCTTAGCCAGTCAAAATACTGTCCACCTCCAATGATATATTTTTCCTTGCATGTTTTATGCTTATGTGACTATTGTGGGTCATTTATAGGTCCTTAGTAATATAATCATATTCTACTTTTCCTCCCCAAAATTTACCCATTGTCACAGTAACTGTCTCACTGTCCTATGAACACAACTTGTTCATTTCTATTTATTCATTTTTTAAAAAGATTTTTTAAATTTATTTTTAGAGAGGGGAAAGGAGGGAGAGAGAGAAACATCAATGTGTGGTTTACCTCTCACATGCCCCTTACCGGGGACCTGGCTCACAACCCAGGCATATTCCCTGCCTGGGAATTGAACCATGACTCTTTGGTTCGCAGGCTGGCACTCAATCCACTGAGCCACACCAGCCAGGGCCCTATTTATTCACTGTTGACTTCGCCTAATATACCTCCTCCTATTCTCTTTACATAACTCAAATCCAGTTCAATTTCACTGGTAATATTCATGATGTTTTCAGCAACCACTACAGTCTACACTGATCTCTCTCTTCCTTGAATTCCTGTATTCATTGAGTTTCACACAATTGAGCAATTAATTATACTATTTTGTATCATTTATTTTTTATTTTAGTTATTAGTCATATTTCCAAACTAGGCTCCTAAATATCAAAGATCATGTCTCAGCCCTGGCTAGGTGGTCAGTTGGTCAGAACGTCATGCTGTACAACAAAAGGCTGTGATTTCGATCCTTGGTCAGAGCACATACCTAGGTTGCAGGTATGACCCCCCAGCCAGTGTGCACATGAGAGGCAATCAATCAATGTTTCTCTCACATTGATGTTTCTGTCTCTCTGTGTCTCTCTCCTTTCCCCTCTCTCTAAAATCAATAAATATATCCTTGGTGAAGATTAAAAAAAAAGATCATGTCTTATGCAGTACTTTTAGTACTTACCAAAATGCTAAATAAAGATATATACTCAGGACTTACCGCCAAGATAGTAGTGTCAGTAAACATAGTACTCACCTTCCAAAACCACATCAAAATTGCAATAAACTACAGAACAAACATCATTAAGAACTGCATGAAATTCAGCTGAATGGAAGGCCTACAGCTATGGAGCCGAAAGGAAAAAAAACACATCCAGACTGTTAGAAGGGGCAGAGAAGTAGAAAGGCCTGGTCCCACATCGATATGTGGAGCTTGAAAATTGGGAGGGAAATCTTGGCTGTGGAGGTGCCCCCTGAGGAGCAAGAGGTCTCAGCTATATACCAGGCTGCCCATCCCAGGGTTCCTGTGCCAGGAAGAAAAGTCCCCATAACTTCTGGCTGTAAAAATCAGTGGGGATTTAGCGCAAGGAAGAAGGCTTTAGGAGTCCCAGGCAATTCCTCTTAAAGGACCAGCATGGACTTACATGGACTCATTCCCTCTGAACTCGAGCACAGGGGCAGCAGCTTGAAAGGCAGCAGAGACATATAGAGAGGAAGTAAATTATTTGGCATGAGGGTGAGAGCTGGGGGAGCAGCTTTCTATCAGGCAAAAATGCTGCCAGAGGCCATTGTTCCTTTCCTGAGCCCTCCCCTCACACAGCCAATAAGCAGGCACCATATCTGAGACTCAATCAACCTGGCTCACACTGTTTGCCCTACCCTGGTGATTCCCTGAGGCCATGCCCCACCCAACTTGCAGGCCCTCCCAAGCTGTTTCTGGTGGCTTTTCTATACAAATGGCTTCTCTTAGCTCCTGCTTCAGATTATCCTATTCTCTCAAAGAAGCAGCATCTGGCCTCAGTGAGCCCTGTACCTCTCACTCAGTGGCACCAGGCCTGGCACTAGGGGCAGACAGCTTTGGTTCACAGCTTGACCTCACCTGGGCATCTCCAAACCCAGCACAAGTAGCAGCCACCTGTTTATCATTTTGTAGCTTTATGCCAGATGGCGCCAGAGCCAGGGAACCCAGTGGACAGTTTTAGACCACATCAAAACACCACCACCCAACCACCTCACAAGCAACATACTGAAGGGGCGCCAGAGCCCTGCAGAAATAAGTCCTACTCTGTGGGGTGGGCTCCTGCAAAGCTGATCCTCCATGGCAGTCGGAGGTGGGTGGTCAGTGGTTACAGCCAGTCCTTGCAGCTGACTGGCTTGGGTAAATCTCTCCCATTGATGTGCCAACATCAACCAAGGCTCAATTACAAGAGGAGGGTGTACTCAGCCCACATGAAGGGCACACCTCGAGTACTCAGCCTGGGTTGTAGGGGAGATTCCGCGACTGGTCCCTATAAAACACCTACTACATTAGGCCATGCTATGAATACATGGAGTCAAAGAAGCCCTACCTAATACATAGAATCAAACACAGGGAAGCTGCCAAAATGAGGAGACACAGAAACATGGCCCCAATGAAAGAACAGAACAAAACTCCAGAAAAAGAGCTAAACAAAATGGAAATAAACAATCTATCATATGCAGAGTTCAAAACACTGGTTATCAGGATGCTCAAGGAACTTAGTGAAGACCTCAGCAGCATAAAAAAGACCCAGTCAGAAATAAAGGATACACTAATTGAAATAAAGAACAACTCACAGAAAAACAACAGTAGAGTGGATGAAGCTGAGAATCAAATCAAGGATTTGGAACATAAGGAAGCAAAAATCAACCAATCATAACAAGAAGAAAAGAGAATCCAAAAAAAGAGGATACTGTAAACAGCCTCTGGGACAACTTCAAGTGTTCCAACATTCCCAACATTGGGATGCCAGAAGGAGAAGAGAAAGAGCAAAATATTGGAAACCTATTTGAAAGAATAATGACAGAAAAGTTCCCTAATTTGGTGAAGGAAATTCACCAAAGTCCAGGAAGCACAGAGAGTCCCAATTACAATGGATGCAAAGATGCCCACCCCAAGACACAGCATAATTAAAATGCAAAAGGTTAAACATAAACAGAGACTCTTAAAAGCAGCAAGAGAAAAGCACTTAGTTACCTATAAGGGAGTTCCCATAAGACTGTCAGTTGATTTCTTAAAAGAGGCTTTGCAACCTAGAAGGGATTGGCAAGAAGTATTTAAAGTCATGAAAAGCAGGGACCTACAGCCACGATTGCTCTACCCAGCAGAGCTATCATTTAGAGTGGAAGGGTAGATAAAGTGCTTCCCAGACAAGGTAAAGATAAAGGAGTTCATTATCACCAAACCATTATTATATGAAATGCTAAAGGGACTTATTTAAGAGAAAGATCAAAACTAAGAACAACAAATTGGCAGTAAATACATATCTATCAACAACTGAATCTAAAAAGCAAACAAGAACAGAGATGGAACCGTGGATAAGGACAGCATTTTGATGGTTGCCAGATGGGAGGGGGTGTGGGAGAATGGGGGAAGAGGTGAGGGAATTAAAGAAGCACAAATAGGTAGTTACAGAATAGCCATGAGGATGTAAAGTACAGTATAGGAAATAGAGTAGCCAAAGAAATTACACACATAACCCATGGGGACATGAAAAATGGTGTGGGGATTGCCTGAGGGAGTGGGGGTTGCTGGGGAGAGGCGGAAAAGGGGAAATATTGGGACAACTGTAATAGCATAATCGGTAAAATATAACTAAAGGGAAAAAAAAAAGTAGTGAAGTATATGCCCTGACTGGTGTTGCTCAGTGGGTTGGACATTGACACACAAACCAATAGGTGGCCAGTTCGATTCCCAGTCAGGACACATGCCTGGGTTGAGGGCCAGGTCCCCAGCTGGAGGTATGCAAAAGGCAACCGATCAATGTTTCTCTTGCACATCGATGTTTCTCTCCCCTATTTCCCTTCTCTCTAAAAATAAATAAATAATATGTATTTTTTAAAAAGTAATGAAGTACAGATACATGCTGTAACACTGAAGAACCTTGAAGTGAAATAATTCAGTCACAAAAGACCACATGCTGTATTGCTCCATTTATAGAAAATGTCCAGAATAAACAAGCCCATAGACACACAAAGTAGATTAGAGGTTGTCTAGGGCTGGGAAGGGGAGGAAATGGAGAGTGTCTCTGAACAGATACAAGATTTCTTTTGGAGATGATGAAAATGTTCTAAAATTGTGGTGATGGGTACACAACTGTGAAATACTAAAAATCACTGAATTGTACACTTGAAATGAGTCAATTATATGGTTTGTGATTACATCTAAATAAAGCTATTATATGTAGAAAGACAGAGATATTTACAAAAAAACTTTACTCTCCCCTTTCCATATGTGCAATCACCAAAATGGAAGGCTTAGCCCAAAGTAAACATTCCCAAAAGTGTTTCAGAACCTCAAGACAATTTCCAAATTAAATGACAGACCGTCATTTAAACACCATAAAAAATATCCCCAACAAAAGCACCCCAGAAAGCTTATTCTCAACTGAGTTCCCCGCTACCAGGTAGTTTCTTACTTTACTGCAAAGGTGAGGAAGAGAGAACTATTATTTAGTGACTCAGTTCTATGTAGCCAGGACCTTAAATATGCTATTTTGTTCACCATTTGCAACCCTGGGAGGTGGGTTTTATTATTCTCCTTTAACAGATGGGAAAACTGAAGCCTGGAGAGGTTACACATTAAATATTACACTTTGAACAACTATTTTTCCATTGGTTTCTAAAACTATTCTCCCTGGATTTCTTTGTATTTAGCAATAATCATTTTTACTTATAAAGACAATCAAAAGTTATCAAACGAAATTACTTTTTTAATTTTTTAAAAAGATTTTATTTATTTACTTTTAGAGAGAAGGGAAGGGAGGGAGAAAGAGGGAGAAAAACATCAATGTGTGAGAGATAAATCAATTGGTTGCCTCTCACACGCCCTCAACTGGGGACCTGGTCCCCAACCCAGGCCTGTGCCCTCACTGGGAATCCAACAAGCAAGTGACCTTTCAGTTCGCAGGCCAGCACTCTGCCCACTGAGCCACACAAGCCAGTTCTCAAACAAGATTATTTTTATACCAACCTGAACATCCTTTATTTCAGCCATAGATTTTCTGTTTATATTTCCTATGTCCATGAAGAGTTTATCAATTGCTTCAGGTATGCCAGGTGAAGTATCTCTTTTTACCAGGCTTTGGATAGTTTCTGCAATAACAATGAATGGTAAAAGTAATGTAAGCTATCACCATTGGCTGAAAATAGCAAATCATTTTGAAATCTGTCCCTAGATATTTGGTCAAATGATTATAACATGAAGAAACTGTGAATGATCCTTAGAGTAAAACCAAACTAGAGAAAAAGTTTCTTTTAGCTGAAGGTAGAGTATAATTTTCAAATAAAATTTATATTCCCTGGGAGTCATTTGTTTATAATGATTATTACTTTAATTCTTGGGAAGTAAAATGCATTAACTTCACAAATAGTAATGTTATTATAGGTCATCTTAAAACTATAAAATAGAAATAATGTCAGCAAAACTAGAAAAGGTTTAAGTTCTGACGGGAGGCTTAGATACATGCCCTGTAAAACTGAAATACTTATTAATATTTTCAAGCATTACACAGACATAGCTAACTTATCCTGTCTCTGAAGTCTTGACCTTACTGTGAGAATAAAAAAATGACATGCCCAATTAGTGACTACATTAGTCAGTTACTGGATCTGTACAAATGATGTCACCATTTTCTAAACAGTCTGAGCTCCATACTCCATAGTGCTGAATCTTACTAAGGCATGGAATTCCTTAAATCCAAGCATGATACAGAATTATAATTGATACCTTTCATATTATCAAAATTGAGGGTTTTCCAAACTCATGTAACAGAAGTGTTCATAACCTAGACGTCTGTAATTTTTGAAACATACCTGAGCATCAACTACCAAAAGGTTAATATGCATAAAAATACTAAATGAGCAACTTCTGAAAGAAATTTTAAGCTGCCATTTAACCTGCTACAATGAACAAATCTGCTAAGTGAAAATTTTTCAGTTGTACATCAAAAAAGATTCACATAAAGATTTTACAAAGCAAATTATGTTCAAATATATTCAAAAATTTCTTACAGCTCATGGAATCTTTATTACCCACTGCATGAGCAGCAGTATTAGGGAAAACACACCACAAATAATTTGTACACCTTAAGTAATATATACAAAAAGAAGAATCTCTAGCTTCCTTACACCAATAAATTTGTGAAAAGACATACTATATCTTGACTCTTCTAAGATTAGGTAAGTAATAGGCTGAAAGGCATATATAGTACAGCCCTTGCTCAAAATATAAGGTGGGGGGAAAAGTAGGTTTACAGTTGTCCATATAGAAAATAATACAATAATTAATAAATAATACAGGAATAAATTGTTTCACATACTCACAACTGTAACTCACTTTTGCCCCACCCTGTATTGATAACAGGATTAAGAAAGTTTAGAATGGGGAAAATATTTGTAAATCATCTGTCTGGTAAGGGGATAGTATCCAAAATATATAAAGAACTCAATAGCAATTTTTTTTTCATTTTTTAACTTTTATTTTAAGATTTTGTTTATTTTTTAAAGAGGGGAAGGGAGGGAGAAAAAGAGGGAAAGCAGCATCAATGGGTGGTTGCCTCTAATGCATCCTCTACTGGGGACCTGGCCTGCAACCCAGGGATGTGCCTTAGACTGGGAATCGAACCGGCGACCCTTTGATTCACAGGCCAGCACTCAAATCAGCTAGGGCAAACTTTTTAAAAATCCAATTTAAAAAAAGGATCAGAGGATCTTTCTAAACATTCTTCCAAAGAAGAAATACAGAAGGCCAACAGGTACATGAAAGGATGTTCAACATTACTAATCAGCAGAGAAATGCAAATCAAGACACTGACGTTATATCAGTTCACACTTGTTAGAATGACTATTACCAAAAAGACAAGAAATAACACAAATGTTGGAGAGAAGGTAGAGCAAAGGGAACCCTTGTGCACTGTTGATGAGTATAGCCACTACAGAAAACAGTACAGAGGTTCCTCAAAAAATTAAGAGTAGAACCACGTATGACCCAGCAACTCCTCTTCTGGGTATCTACCTAAAAATTTAGGAAACATTATTCATAAAAATATATGTACCCCTGTGTTCATTGCAGCATTATTCATGGTAGCCAAGGTATGGAATCAACCTAAACATCCTTCAATGGATGATTGCATAAAGAAGATGTGGTATACCCTTTATATATATGCACACATACATACATTACATATATAAATGCATATGTACATATACATATATGCATATGTATATGTACATATTTACATACTTATACACCTAAATACATAAATATACCTATATTTATAAATATATCGATACCTAAATATGTATTTTATAAATATGCCTGTTATATAAATGTATGCATACATACACATATGTATATAGGCATGCACATAATGCATATACTTATGTGTGCATACACACATGCACATACATGCATGTGTATGCACTAATATACACATGCTTATATACATAAACGCATTATATATACACATGTGTATGTACATATGTGTGCGCGCGCATGTACACATATATAATGGAATACTACTCAGACATAAGAAAATATGAAATAGTTTCATTTGTGACAACATGGATGGATATTAAGACTATTGTGCTAACCAAAATAAGTCAAACAGATAAGGACAAGAACCATTTGATTTCACTATATGTAGGATATTAAACTGAAAGCAACAAATAAACAAACCAAACAAAGAAACTCATAGATACAGACAAAAGTATGGTAGTTACCAAAGGGGAAGGGGAATGGGAGAAGGATGAAGAGTGTTAAGGGGGCCAAATATATGGTGACAGAAGGAGACTAATTTTGAGTGGTGAGCACACAGTGCAATATACACGTTGCATTACAAAACTGTACAGTTAAAACTTATATGATGTACCAACCAATGTCACCCCAATAAATTTGACTTATTTAAAAAAGAAATGTGGTGAATATATACAATGGGATAGTATTCAGCCATAAAAAAGAATGAAATCTTGCCATTTCTGACAATATGATGGACGTTGAGGGTTTATACTAAGTGAAATGAGTCAGAGAAAGACAAATACCCTATGATCTCACTTATATGTGGAATCTTAAAACAAGCAAATAAACAACAAGCTCTTAGACACAGAACAGATTGATTGTAGCCTGGGATCAGGCTTAGGTGGTAGACAAAATGGGTGAAGAGAGTCAAAGATACAAACTTCCAGGTATAAAATAAATAATTCATGAGACGTAATGTACAATATGGCAACTGTATTTAATACTGTACTGCATATTTGAAAGTTGCTAAGAGAGTAAATCTTAAAAGTTCTCATCACAAGAAAAAAACCTTTGTAACTATGTATGGTAATAGATGTTAACTAGACTTAGTATGGTGATCATTTCACAACATATACAAATATCAAATCATTATGTTGTGTACCTGAAACTGATCTAATGTTGCATGTCAATCATACCTCAGTTTTAAAAAATTAGGAAAGCTTTGAAATGTTTTTAAAACCCAAATACTGTTTAAAAACAAATGTCTTAAAATGATTTTGAAAAGAAAATATATATACACATGTTTGAGTTGCTTTAAAAAATTCCAGAAATATTTTAGTAGAATACCAATTATAACTTCTGGTCACATAGTATAAGAAACGGTGAAGACATTCATTTTGATTTGTGCATGTTCTCTTAGTGTTTAATATAATTCATTCTTTGTCAAAATAATTCTGGTCCTTTCAAAACATATTTTTAATGTCATTTACTTGACCAATTTGACTGACACCAGCTGAGGCAATGACAGTACTACAGATCTTTAGGGTAAAATGCAGTCAGCAAAGCTGGGTAACTAGTGGAGATCACATAGCTAAATGGTTGAGTTAAACTATGAAGGAGACTTGTTTCTGGCAGAAGCTCACAAAGGAGCTTCTATAAATACAGCCTATTCTTGAGATTTGAAGATAACATGCTATATTAAGGTTATATCAAGCAAGATTGTACATTTTGAAAGAAAATTATTAAATTATCTTCCCAGCTACTGAAATAAACTATGATTTAAAACATGGTTTCAGTCAATATACTTTAAATGAGATTCATCCTAGTTAAAATGGGGGGGCGGGGTCACACCATTGAGATTGTGTTAATCAATACCAATTAATTCTGATTAGGCAGACAGCATTGTAGGTAGAATATGAATAGAAAATAAATATTTTCCTGTCCTTGAGGCAGTGAGCTTCTGCTACAACATGGCAAAAAAAAAAAAAAATCTATCAACCGTCCTGCCAAGTCTCTCCCTGTGACTTCCATCAGCTCAAACGGTCATTTCAAAGGCCAAAGCACCTCAAAGGCCTACCAGGGTCAATTCAAGGTTTGACTTCCAATCACAATAATTATCTGCGACTTCCTCAGCGAGAAAAAAACAAAAATAACATGAAAATTAACATTTGCATAGTGCTTTATACTCTCAAAGCTTTTCATATGCATCCTCATTTAATCATCAATCTACACTGTAAGGGAAGTATTTTTATTTTATAAAATGTGGAAACTGATATTTAACAAAGTGTAGTGACTTCTCAAAGGTGATACAAAGAAAGTAGCAACTAGAACTTGAATTCAGGCTTTCTCATTGGAAATTTATAGCATGCTATCAGGAAGAACCTGAAACAAGTGACATGCAACACTTGAAGCTAAAAACAAAATAAATGAACACGCAGAACAGAAACAGACTCATAAATACAGAAAATATTTTGATGGTTGCCAGATGGGAGGGGGTGGGGCAGTTGGGTGAAGAAATTGAAAGGATTAATAAGTACAAATTGGTAGTAATAGAATAGGCATGAGGGTGTAAAGTATAGCATAGGGAATATAGTCAAGCATATTCTAATAATTATATTATGGTGTCAGATGGGTGTGAGATTTATTGGGATGATCACTTATGTTACATAATGCCTAATCACTGGGGTGTACACCTGAATTTAATGTAATATTGTATGTTAACTGTAACTGAAAAATAAAAATAATTTAAAGAATTTTAGAATAAAAAAAATAAAATAAAGCATCAGTAAGTTAATTATCTTGCTTGCTCAAGATCAAAGCTATTGGTAGCACAGCATGAACAGAATTCAAGACAAGTGCATTCTTTTTGCTCTGGCTAGTGTCTGCATTTCTCCTTATAAAATGTAATTCAACAAACATTTTTTTGATACCTGGTATCGGGCAGAAACAGGGCATCTTGCTAGGAATGCAAATATAAGTGAGGCAGTCTATGCCATCTAGTGGACCACACTATTCAGGAAAGTTAAATTTTAAAAACTTGCAATATAATGTAGTAAGTGCCATGAATACAAGATACTGCAGGAATATAAAGGAAGAATTGAGTAACTCTTGCCATTTGAGACTTGGGATAAAGGGATGACGGGATAGTCTTCACTGGGGTCCTATCTGAGGTGGACCTTGAAGGATAAGTTAGAGATCTGCCAAGCAACATACCAGAGGGAAAAGCACAGAGGTGTGGAAAAGCACATCAGGTTCAAATAACCATAAATAGTTATGTATGGCTGGAGAAAAGGGTAAAGGAAGGTTACAGAAAACACCATTAGAAAGGTATATAGAGGTCAGAGCTTGAAACATACTGTATGATGTACTATGAAGGTTAAATTCAGTTAGTTATTCCACTTCTTTATTTCATAAACTGTTTTATAGCTACCTAATATGTGCATACTGGGTGACCTCTCCAAGTATCTCAATGAGATTTCTGCACAAGCCATATAGAAACTATGCTATGACTCTCAACTATGTGACCCTCTCTTGGCACATTTCCTAACAACTCTGCTATTCTTAATCTGAGGATCCATTATGACATTTAAAGGCATGGGAAAAAATAATTCAGGGAGGCTTCCAAATAAACAAAGTTCTTTAAGAATAAATGAAAGCCTATTATCTTTTTTTTAATCCTCACCAGCAGACATTTCTTCATTGCTTTTTTAGAGAGAGAGGGTTGGAGAGTGAGAGGGATGGATGAAAGAGAAAATCATCGATTGGATGCCTCCTCTACCCCCTACATGTGAGAACTGGTGATCCTATTCTTGGACCCAGGAATCACACACACCAGAAGACTAAACCTGCAATTCAGGTATATGCCCTAACCAGGAATTGTACATGCAACCTTTCGGTTATGGAACCACACTCCAACCAACTGAGCCACACCTGTCAGGGTTGAAAGTCTATTATTTTGAGTGAGTTTTCCTACTAAAGGTTTCGTCTAGATTTGCAGTTTAACATGGCAGCCATGTGTGGCTATTTAGCACCTGAAGTATGGTTAGTGCAAACTGAGATGTACTATCATTGTAAAATAACAGATTTCAAAGATTTAGTATAAAAAAATATAAAATATGTCAGTAATTTTTAATAACCGTAATAGTTTATAACTCAAAACATCAGCACTTTTATATACTGATTACATGTTAAAATAGTAGTTTTGATATGTGGGGCTAAGAATATAGTATTAAAATTATCATTATTGTTATTATTAAAATAAATTGCACCTGTTTCTCTTTACTTTTAAAATGTGGCTACTAGAAATTATTTTTAAATTACATTCCTGGTACTCACTTTGGCAGCACATATACTAAAGTTGGAACAATACAGATATTAGCATGGCCCCCTGCACAAGGATAACATACAAATTCATAAGCATTCCACTTTTTTTAAAAAAGAATGTTTTAGCCCTGGCTGGCATGGCTCAGTGGATTGAGCAACAGATTGCAAACTGAGAGGTTGCTGGTTTGATTCTGAGCCAGGGCACATGCCTGGGTTGTAGGCCAGGTCCCCAGCTGAGGGTGTGCGAGAGGCAACTAATCTGTGTTCTCTCTCACAATGATGTTTCTCTTCCTCTTTCTCCCTCTCTTCCCATTTCTCTCCCTCTAAAAAAATGACATTATTTAAAAAAAAAGAATGCTTTAAAAAATACATTTGTAGTTCACAATATGTTTCTACTGGACAGGGCTGGTCTAGAGCAGAGGTCCCCAACCCCTGGGCCACGGACCAGCATCAGTCAGTGGCCTGCTAGGAACAGGGCTGCACAGCAGGAGGTGAGTGGTGGGTGAGCAAGTGAAGCGTCATCTGTATTTACAGCCACCTCCCATCACTTGCATTACCGCCTGAGCTCCGCCTCCTGTCAGATCAGAGGTGGAATTAGATGCTCATAGGAACACAAACCCTACTGTGAACTGCACATACAAGAGATCTCGGCTGCACACTCCTTATGAGAATCTAATGCCTGATGATCTGAGGTGGAACTGAATACAGATTATCATTAGCAGAGAGTATTGACTGCACAGAGACCATAATAAATCAATCGCTTGCAGACTCATATCAAAACCCTAACAGTGAGTGGCAAGTGACAATTAGGCTGCATCTGGTGGCAGGCTATAAAGCATACCCCACCCCCAGGTCTGTGGAAAAACTGTCTTCCATGAAACCAGTCCCTGGTGCCAACAAGATCGGGGACCGCTTGCCTAGAGCATATACTGTGACTGAATGCTGAAGATTCAATGAAACCAATTAGTTAATATCTACTTCCCTAAAAGTCATCATAGATTTAAAAGAAAAAGAAAGTATAAACTTGGATATTTTAATAGACCTAAGAGTATTTATATAATAACAAATACAAAAATATTAGAAATCTATAAAAAGGAGAATTGCCTCCAAATTAGCCATAGGAAAGGGAATTCCAAAATTTGATAAACAGTTGCCATTCTTTAAGAAGAAACAACCCTCATGTAGAGAAGGAAAACTGGGCTAAATTATCTTGGTATGAATTTTTTATTTTTATTTTTTAAATATTTTACTTATTTATTTTTAGAGTGGAAGGCAAGGAGAAAGAGAGGGAGAGGAACATCAATGTGTGGTTGCCTCTCACATGCCCCTTACTGGGGACCTGGCCTGCAACACAGGCATTTTCCTTGACTGAGAATTGAACCAGCGACCCTTTGGTTTGCAGGATGGCACTCAATTCACTGGGCCACACCAGCCAGGGCATGAATTTTTTAAAAACTTTTTAAAAAATGCATTGCTTTTGGAGAGAGTAATGGAGAGAAAGAGAAATTTGTTTCTCCACTCATTTATGCATTCATTAATTGATTCCTGTATGTGCCCTGACCAGGAATCAAACCTCAACCTTGGCATATTGGAGACACTCTAACCAACTGAGCTACCCAGTTAGGGCAGCACGAGATTCTTTTAACACCACTCAACTGTTCGCTATTCCCATGTTACGTCACCTTCTTTACGGATGGTCCCTGGTGCTTGCCCAGATGAGAAACTTTTTTTCTGAATCAGGAGAGACACTTTTAGAAAACCTTCCAGCACAGTTATTATTGTTTCTTAAATTAAGAATTTGGGCCTTTCAAAACTTGTCCTTCAGGAAAGAAATACCCTAGACAGTCTGTTGAAACCTGGTTACAAAGGCACTTCACATTTCAGCAGATCCACTTCTAGGTATTTCCCTCAAGAGAAATAAAAACCTAAGTCATTTTAAAAAAACATATATATGAATATTCATAGCAACTTTATTCATGATAACCAAAAATGTCTACCAACTGATAAATGGATAAATTGTGATATATTCATTCAGTGGAACACTACTAAGCCATAAAAAGGAATTAACTACTCTTATGCAATTATATGGATGAATCTCAAAACAATTATGCTTAGTGAAAAACACTATAGGAAAAAAGAGTACACACTGTATTGTTTCATTTATAAACTCATCTGCAGTGATAGAAATAAGAACAATGAATGCCTGGGGTGAAATGTGAAGGGTAGGTTGACCACAAAGGGGCATGACGGAATTTTCTGAATTGAAAATGTTCTATTTCTTGATCTGAATGGTGGTTATACAGGTTACATTTGCTCCTCCCTCAAAAAACAGGTATCACCCTGTACACTTAAAATGTGTGTATTTTATTATATGTGTAAATTATATCTCAATAAAGTTGATTTCTAAGAAAGGAAAGAGGGATAGGAGGGGAAAGGAAAGGTACTATAGAGCTAAAATCCCTGGAGGCTGCAGGTAAGGAGCAGGATAGCATAGTGTGACATCAAACTTTGGTCAACTTCAAGAAGGCAGCCTCAGAGGTAAACAGGAGAGCCCTGACCAGTGTGGCTCAGCTGGTTGGGCACTGTCCCACAAAGCAAAAGATCGCCAGTTCAATCCCTGGACTGATTGGGCGTGTACGAGAGGCAGCTGATCAATGTTTTCCTCCATCTCTTTCTCTCTCCCATCCCCTCTCTCTAAAAAATATAAATAAATAAATAAATAAAATTTTTTAAAGGTGAACAGGAGATTTGTCCCCTTTTCCCACCTTCACCCATTTTCCTCACCACCCCCTGCAAAAATCCTGTAACTATGTGAGGTAATGGATGTGTTAATAAACCTTCTTGTAGTAATCATTTTACAATAATATATACATACATAAAATCACTACAGAGTGTTATATGTCAATGATATTTCAAAAAAGTTGGGGGGGCAGGGAACAGGAGAGTTAGTAACAGAAGTGCATGTACAGAGAATCCCAAGAGCCTTTCAAAGAGATAAACCAGAAAAAACTAAATCTAGGGAAAAAAATCAAGTATAGAACAAGTTAGACACCAGACTTTGGAGACGAGAGCAAACCAGACAGGTTGAGCAAGCATACCCAAACATGCTGCTTAATGGATTGATGCCAATCTGAAGTGAGGTTTTTAATGGCGTAACATTCTGTCCTTGGCCCTGTCCTATTTAACTGTCTTATCAATGATTTGGATGAAGAAGCTGAGAGAGAACAAAGATGATATAACCAGGAACAAAAATTAAATCTCTAGTTGTAGCAATGGGATTAACATAAAGAAAAATTACAGTCCCGCATTTAAATCTTCAGAATTAACAGCACCAATGCATGACAGGCAACACATAGCTTAACAGCAGAATGTATTTTTTAAAAATGAGAGTCTTTTAGAAGCAAAATGGTCAAAATAAGTCATCAGTGTGGTGTGACTGTCCACCCCCAAAATTCAATCTTAGCTACATTGTTATCTAAAGAAAATGATGATCACATCACTCCCAAATCTAAAGAGAAAGATTATTTTGTGCTGATCATGTCAAACCTAGAGAACTGTGTTCTATTCTGGGTACCAGACTTTAAGGAATAACATGAAAAGAATAGAACATGTTCGGAGAAGAGCACACAAAATGATGAGGGGACTAGAAACCATGTAATATGAGGAATGGGTAAGCAAACTGAGAATGGCTCATCTAAAGAAGAGACTTTCCAGGGAACATAAGTATCTTTAAACAGTTGAAGAACATGCAAAAAAAAAAAAAAAGATACACTTATTTAGCCCCAATGGGTATAACTTAAACAAATTTCTACTCCTTCTTGCCCATGAAACTGATTGGAATTGTTGGTACAAGAAGTTGGATGTTATGTCAATTCTCCCTATGAAGGAAAAAAAAAAGAGCTAAGGCCATCACATGGGCCTTTTGTGGTCCTTTTTTACAAAACTTGACTAAAGGTTATGTATACAAAAAAGAAAACTCAAATAGCCAACAAACCTATGAAAATACACTCAACTTCACCCTGGCCAGTGTGGCTCAGTGGTTACAGGAGTGCTGCCCTGTAACCCAAAGGCTGCGGGTCTGATTTCCAGTCAGGGTGCATAGGATGCTGTCTGGCACATACTGGAGGCCCGATGAATGTTTTTTCTCTTACATCAACGTTTCTCTCTCCCCCTTTCTCTCTCTCTAAAAGCAATGAAAACAATGTCCTTGGGTAAGGATAAAAAAATTTTTAAGAAAAAATACACCCAACTTCAACAGTTATCAGGGAAATAGAAATTAAAACATTATCCATGTAAGATGATAACAGGGGAAAATAAAACTGGCTGAAGGGTATATGTGAACTCTGCACTATCTTTGAAACTTTTCTGTAAATCTAAAATTATTCCAAAATAAATGTTAATTAAAAATAATGACACCCATATTTCATATCTGCAATACTTTTTAAGTGTGACAATACCAAATATTAGCAAGATTATGGGTAAAAGAAAAAGGGAGAATATAAATTCTTAAAACTACTTTAGAGATCAATTTGGCAATATTTATAAAGTTAAAGATACTGATAGCTTTTGACCCAGCAGTTCCACATTCAGCAGTTCTACCTAAATGTATGCCCTACAACAGCACTGCCACTGTAGGGTGGCCTCTAGCCACATACATGTGACTACTAAGCACTTGAACTGTGGCAAGTCCAAAATGGGATGTGCTTCAAGTATAAAATACATGCCAGACTTCAAACTTTTACCAAAAATGTAAACTATCTCATTAATAACTTTTATATTAATTGCATGCTAAATGATAATATTTTGGATATATTGAGCTAAATAATTTATATTACTAAAATTAACTTTATCTGATTAACCTTTTTAATGTGGTTATTACAAAATGTAAAATTGTGTTTGCACTATGTTTCAATTGGACAGCACTGACCTAGAGCCTCACCCCCCCCAGTGCTCAAGAAATAAATCAACTTAGTAGGTTATAACCAGCATTTTTTAATTAACAAAAGCATAGAAAAGAAAATATTGTGGTGCACTGCATGTAATAAGGGTAAAACTGTTTCATTAAACTTCTGGTGCCATGTATTTCCCTGCCATGGGTGGTGGTCAAAAATGTTTGAAAGCTCCCGCTAAATTCTCTGAAGCACAATGTTCATTGTTGTTATTTGTAATAGCAACTATTTAAAACACATATATACCCAGTAAGAGAAATTGAATAAATGATTTGTGGTACACTTATATTCAATGTAATAGTACTAATCAGCAGTGGAAATAAAGGAACTACAGCTAAAATATTCATACAGGTAAATATCCAAAATATAATGCTGAGCAAAAGAAGACAAGTCACAGGAAGGTAAAATCACATAAAATGAAACAATTTATGTAAAACTTTAAAAGATGAAAAACCAGTACATGTAATCTTTGAGTTCTTTAAAACATGAAATATCTGAAATACATGACAAACTGTTAAGATCAACAAAATTTAGTGATGGATATGCTGGTGTTCATTATATTATTCTCCATACTTGTCTGTGTTTCAAATATTTATGTAAATACGTCTCAAATACCATATACTTAAAACTCATAATCTCTATTCTATGTTTATATCTTTAAGATACTATAGCCTAAATTAAAATTTAAAGCAGGTGGTAGTGAGCTTTGTTGTTGTTTTATAATGACAAGCATTGATTTTTGCTCTGATGGGCATGGCTCAATTGGTTGAGCGTTGTCCAGTAGAGCAAAAGGCCCCTGGTTCATTCCCAGTCAAGGCTCATGCCTGGATTACCAGGCCGGTCCAGTTGCGGCGCTTGCAAGAGGCAACCTATTGATGTTTCTCTCACACATACATATTTTTCTCCCTCTCTCCTTCCCTTCTCTCTAAGAATAAATAAAATCTTAAAAAAACATTGACCTAAACTTTTGAAAGCCAGAGATCGGTAGCCACCCTGGATACAGCATAGTTTCGTTTTGTAAATATCATAAATTCCCCCATATCTGGCATAGCTGAGGAATCTGGTATTCTGATCAATCAAATTGCTTTTGTTTATTAAGAATTCCCATGAACATGCTCCATGGATACCAATTCTCAAAAGAATAAAGATATAATCAAATATACTTAAAACCTAAAACTACACAGGATATAATTTATTTTCCCCTGATAATTATGGAAAGGCCCAGGACCTTGCTATACTTTTTAATGTACTTTTAATGCAGTAATTTCTATTTCAGATTAAACCAACAGTATTTTGCATTCTGGAAAAAACCTTGAGAAAGCAAGCTATGAATTGTGAATTATATTTCCTTATACTAGTTTATAAAAGGGTTCCAGTGTCTTAAACATCTACATTGTTTTTCTGGTACATTAATGAGAAAACGTGAAGCTATGGATACCACAAAGACATCAAATTCAGAAAAAAAAACATTTAGAAGATCTTAGATATAGAATCAAACAGTGTTACATTTTCTTTATTACCATGTAAAGCTGTATACCTTTAAAGTCCATTGAACGAAAATCCATGTCGTCCATTTTTCAATCTCTAGATGACACCTATAAAAGTAAGAAAATATTTTAATATTCAGTCATTTAAACTCCTGTTTATTTTTACTCTAATTTTTAGACTTTCTTTTGAGTCTAATTTTTCCAGTTACTTGCTATTCAAAGGGAAAAATGCTGAGGAAATTTAAAATCTCAGAAAAGGTAGTTAATGAGACATGGGAACAGACTGTCCAGCAACCTGAGCCCAGCCTGGAGGAATGTTCATCAAATCTTATCTTAGCATAACCTGCCCAGCAAAGCAGAAAACCACGGCTAAGGGTACGCTCTGATTGGTCCGGATGGTGCTCGTTACCTCGTTCTAATTGGCTGAAAATCCCAAGCCCAATGTATAAAGCATCCAATGGCGTACGGCTCTCCCAGCCCGCCGTCCCGCCCCCGTAGACAGAGCCAGCGCGCGCGCTTTCAGCTTCCCGCCACCCAAAGTGGACCAACCGCTTCTCAGACATCACTAACCATAGGGCCCCACGGAACTTAGGTCCTTAAACCCAAACTACCATAACTACTAACTCCCTATGCGACGGTCCCTCCACCCCTCCTCAAGCGAAAGGCAACTGTTTTAAAAGATTTTCTTTCTTTACCTAACCACAGGGCTCATTTTGAGCTTCGACCAGCAGACGGAAATGTCGCTGGCGGAATCTCAGTGGAAACGCGAACTACAGGCAACCTAACGATATCACTCCTAATAAATATATTTTTATTTCTATCTTTCTCCCTACATTAACTTCTCTGTACAATAAAAAAATAAAACGCTTACCTCTCTTCCAACACCTCATATATCTGAACTTCCTAATCCCTCTTAAAAGACCTTATTACTTTATTGAAAACTGGGTAAAGGGGGAGAAATTGAGGGAATATCGACTTATGAGAAAAACGCTGATGGCTACAAACCAGAGAGGCCCCGTATGGAAAACACAAGCCAGGTGTATGCCTTGGCTGGGAATCGAACCGGCGAACTTAATATTTGCGAGAAAATGCCATTAGGAAACAGCCACCCCAATCACTACATCTTAATTTATCACGGTAAAAAAAAAAAACCAAACGAACAAAAAAAAACCTTTTTTTTTATTACTTATACCTGAAGCGAGACTGACCTACAGCCCGCTCCCTAAGGCGAAACGAACCGCCTCAGGACATTTCTAAAAACTATTCCCCTAAAGGCTTTATTGACTTCTTACTTATACCAACATATTCATTGGTACCGGACCCTCCTCTACCCTTCTGCCTTTAGTACATCACTCACCGCCGCGCAAGCCGCCCTCACGGAAGCCTCTCCACCGACTCCCTCCGTCCGCAGCGCGCGCACCCACCGACAGGCGGACGAGCGCGAGCGCCACAAACGGTTCCCCGCGCCTCGCGCCTCGGCGCTCGGCAAGCTCCTCCCCCGCGCAGTGATGTCAATCAAATGCCACGCCCACTCGCCCTTCCTCCTCTCCCGCACCGGCCGAAGCCTCGCGGGCGCAGTCCGGGCCTTAGGTCCTGGGACGCCGTGCCGAGGGTCAGGGTGAGCACCGCCGAGAGCGAGGAAGTACGGTGCCCACTACAATTACAGAGGGAAGATTGCAGGCGGCCAGGGTCACAGCAAAGACGAGGGCAGGCCTTCAAAGGAAAGAAAATGGACGGGGCCACGGAGGGAGAGAAAATGGAGGGACGGAAGGAAAGAAGCAATGTTGCCCACCGGTTATTCGAGAGTGGCAAGGTTCGGCCCTGGCTGGTGTGGCTCAGCGGGCTGGCTGTCGCCCCGAAACTAAAACGTCGCCGGGCCCGCTGCGGTCAGCGCACCTGCCCGCTTTGCGGTGCGGTGCGGCTGGGCGCGTTCGGCAGGCAACCAACCGAAGGTTGCCTGGCACGTCCGCGGTTCTCCCCGTCTCCTTCAGGGGCCCCTCCCTCCCCCTCGCTCAAGAAATAAGCAATGAATAAAACCATTAAACATTTTTAAAAGTAAAAATAAATGCATAGTCCCGGCTGGTGTGGCTCAGCGCACGGAGTGCCAGCCTGCGACCCGAAGGGTCGGTCCCCGGTTCCATTCCCAGCAGGGCACAACGCCTGGGTGGCGGGCCAGGTGCCCCGTGGGGGCTGCGCGAGAGGCAACACCACACCGGCGCTTCTCCTCCTCCCTTTCCCACTCTCTAAAAGGAAATACAGTCTTTTATAAATGACAATCAGTCTAAATACATAGAATCCTCCAGAAAAAGGGGAGCAACGTTCAGAAATTTCAGAAGCGAAGGAGAGAGAAGAGAGCCAAGTCCAAGGGCACCTGCGCTGCCCTGCCCTGCCCTGCCCTGGTCAAATCTATTGGTAACTGATGGCTCTTGGACAGGCTCACAGCAAGGGCGGGAGTCTCACCCATGTGCAAACTAGTGGTCTTGGGGACGGGAGAGAAACACAGGAGTACACGTGTTTGTAGCTAAACCCGTGCGTGACGCTTGCAACCAAGCAATGGGCCTGTACTGAAATCTCCACTCAGAGACACGTGTTATGGCACGATGCCTCCAAATTTGGAGAATGACCCTAAATCAAAGCATCAACAGGCCTCCCACTTCTCTCCTCACATGCCCCTTTTCTACTGAACGTACTGGGGCGGCACTGGTTCACAAAACCACACAGGTCTGAAGTGTAAAACCCAACGAAACGTCACCTGCACCCTGCATTGTGCTCCCAACGCCCCAAGCAACTCTCTTTCTGTGCCCACTGCCCAGCTCCACCTTCCCTCCAACCCCTTTCCTCTGCCTATCACCACCCTGTTGCCTGCGCCTATGCCTCTTTTTTTTATGTCTGTGTATACCTACACACACATCCGTGTGTATGTGTATACACATGCACATGTATATGTGGACGTGTCTATACACATGCCTGCGTATTTTACCTGCATATGCGTGTCTGGGTGCGTCCATAGGTATGTACATGTGTGCGTATACACACAGACACACACATCTTTTCTATATATACACGCGCGCGCCTCTGTGTGTGTGTGTGTGTGTGTGTGTGTGTGCGCGCGCGTGCGCACGCGCGTGTGTATAAAAATATACAGGAGCTTAACTGCTCCACCTTGATTCACCCAGTCTTTTGCCGGACGCACCTCGGTCAGGCCGCCTGTGAAGATGCCTAACAGGGTGAAGAGGAGGGATTGCAACTTCAAGTTGGGAACTAACAGAGCTCCCTCTCGACCCTGACAGTCTCACGGTCACGATTTATCATGCAAACACGGGGTTCCTAAACGTAATTTCCTCTCCCCCTTCAAAATTTCCTGCACCTAGTTCCCACAGCACAGTGAAGGAAAAGAGGAAAAACAGAGAAGGCGCTGCCGTTAACTGCTCTTCGTTTGCATCCTGCAATTGGGCACTCATTTCACAATCTGACAATGCTAAATTAGCGGGAAAAGCCTACTGGGGAGGGGCAGTAGACTGTCCCATAGCTGCCTGACACTCCGTGCACCACATACTGGGCGACCTGGTGCCAGCTACTGAGGACTCTCACCGGGTCGATGTCCTCACCTGTAAGTAGGGACACAAGTAGTTCTAGGTCTGGCTCAGTGGAATACCGCACATGAGCCTACTAGAACAGTGGCTGACATAAAGCAGATACCTAACGAAAGTTAGTTCCCGTTATCATTTCCTGGTTGGCAAACTCGGGGATCCCAAATTCCCCGCCTTTGGGGGAATCCGGCCCACCCAGGCCCTCTTGTTCATGGATGAAGGGATGAATGAGCATAAAGACTTATTCTTTTTATTTTACTTTCTTTAGAGAGAGAGGAGAAGGGAGGGAGAAACCCAGGGAGAGAAGCATCGACGAACGAGAGAAACACTGGTGGCTACGACTCGCAAAAGCCCCGGCCACGGACCGAACCCGCAGCCCAGGCGTGTGCCCTGGCTGGGAATCGAACCGGCAACCTTGCGGGTTGCTGGAACGTGTCCAACGCACTGAGCCACACCAGTCGGCGCCCTGTATTTTACCTATGTTTTAAAACGAGGGAAAAAAGAAAACCCAAAACACCCTGTCTTTGCCCACCGGTACCGGACCCTCCTCTACCCTTCTGCCTTTAGTACATCACTCACCGCCGCGCAAGCCGCCCTCACGGAAGCCTCTCCACCGACTCCCTCCGTCCGCAGCGCGCGCACCCACCGACAGGCGGACGAGCGCGAGCGCCACAAACGGTTCCCCGCGCCTCGCGCCTCGGCGCTCGGCAAGCTCCTCCCCCGCGCAGTGATGTCAATCAAATGCCACGCCCACTCGCCCTTCCTCCTCTCCCGCACCGGCCGAAGCCTCGCGGCGCAGTCCGGGCCTTAGGTCCTGGGATGCCGTGCCGAGGGTCAGGGTGAGCACCGCCGAGAGCGAGGAAGTACGGTGCCCGCTACAATTACAGAGGGAAGATTGCAGGCGGCCAGGGTCACAGCAAAGACGAGGGCAGGCCTTCAAAGGAAAGAAAATGGACGGGGCCACGGAGGGAGAGAAAATGGAGGGACGGAAGGAAAGAAGCAATGTTGCCCACCGGTTATTCGAGAGTGGCAAGGTTCGGCCCTGGCTGGTGTGGCTCAGCGGGCTGGCTGTCGCCCCGAAACTAAAACGTCGCCGGGCCCGCTGCGGTCAGCGCACCTGCCCGCTTTGCGGTGCGGTGCGGCTGGGCGCGTTCGGCAGGCAACCAACCGAAGGTTGCCTGGCACGTCCGCGGTTCTCCCCGTCTCCTTCAGGGGCCCCTCCCTCCCCCTCGCTCAAGAAATAAGCAATGAATAAAACCATTAAACATTTTTAAAAGTAAAAATAAATGCATAGTCCCGGCTGGTGTGGCTCAGCGCACGGAGTGCCAGCCTGCGACCCGAAGGGTCGGTCCCCGGTTCCATTCCCAGCAGGGCACAACGCCTGGGTGGCGGGCCAGGTGCCCCGTGGGGGCTGCGCGAGAGGCAACACCACACCGGCGCTTCTCCTCCTCCCTTTCCCACTCTCTAAAAGGAAATACAGTCTTTTATAAATGACAATCAGTCTAAATACATAGAATCCTCCAGAAAAAGGGGAGCAACGTTCAGAAATTTCAGAAGCGAAGGAGAGAGAAGAGAGCCAAGTCCAAGGGCACCTGCGCTGCCCTGCCCTGCCCTGCCCTGGTCAAATCTATTGGTAACTGATGGCTCTTGGACAGGCTCACAGCAAGGGCGGGAGTCTCACCCATGTGCAAACTAGTGGTCTTGGGGACGGGAGAGAAACACAGGAGTACACGTGTTTGTAGCTAAACCCGTGCGTGACGCTTGCAACCAAGCAATGGGCCTGTACTGAAATCTCCACTCAGAGACACGTGTTATGGCACGATGCCTCCAAATTTGGAGAATGACCCTAAATCAAAGCATCAACAGGCCTCCCACTTCTCTCCTCACATGCCCCTTTTCTACTGAACGTACTGGGGCGGCACTGGTTCACAAAACCACACAGGTCTGAAGTGTAAAACCCAACGAAACGTCAC